TATCAAACTGACAGCAATCGAGCTACGAATCGTGGGGCGAAATGCGATTTGGATAAATAAGCAACATTCCGATACGCGGTGCTCACTTTTATCGGTATTTTACGATCGCTTCTATACTACAAGTTTCACGGGCGAATGCATAGGCCACGCATTTTTCATCTTTGCAAACTCTCTTTCTCTCTCGTTCTACTCGACAGAGCGTGTCTCCCCGACTAGCGCGGACTGACCAGCTCTTGTCTATTCTTGAATCAACGGTAAGCATTTCGCGGCTAGAAACGGCCGCAAAGAATAAGCCGAGCCGCAGAGCCGCGAGCAGATAACGGGAACAATGATTTTTTTTTCTCGTTGATGCGTACGCGCGCAATTTTCTTGAAAATTGGAGAAAATTTCCGAAAAAATTGCCCGTCTCAAGCGGGTAGGAAAAAAGTTGAAAGATATATATACGTGCACAAAGATACACGTACACGTGCTCTCTTGTATTACATCACAAGAATACGATTAATTAAGCGGAAAAAATGCTAAATTACGTCATTTCATTTGTCGCGATTCCACGTCTGTTCCAGTTAATTAATATTTGCCAACGTTCGCCGCATGATGGATGCGCATGAATAACATTTGGCGGAACGAGTCATCGCGATGGAATGCAAAACGGAACATCGGGATCGCGCGGTCGCTTCGGGAAAGCTCGGCGACACACGGAGACACCGCAATTAACACGACGTGCAAATTCTCAAATTTGCACGGCCGACGGACGCCGAGCTATTTCATCGCGCGACGCGGCGCGACGCGACGGATATAGCTGTTCCGTTTCGAGCGTGAACTAGTACGGTGTGAGGCCGGCTTTAGAAGGCGCCCGAAAGCTTGTGGCCGCCGGCCAAGAAGGCCCCTTGGACGTCGGCCAAGGAATTCGCGTGCATTTTTCCATTCATAACCGCGAAATCTATATTTGGCCGCGATATATCGCGTGAATTCGTGGCGCGGCGTTATTTTTAGGATGAACCCTCAATGCGCGCTGATTAATCCGCTCGCCGGCCAATTACCTTTCTCGGTCGGCGTCTTACATTTCGCGCGCGTAATCATCACAAATTTTTTCGTTTTCCTTGTAAATGCAGAAAATCGATCACTTTCTTGGAAACTTATTTTGCCAGATGGCGCGAAATAACAATCACCTCGGAACGGAATGGTCGCAAAAGACGCTCGAAATGTTATTGATAAATGATAAAGAGGACAAGCGGCAAGCGAGATCCAGCGAGACAACTTTTACATAAGCAAAAGAGGAAAAAGAGAAAAGAAGACTGCGCAAAGTCGAGAGTAAAGGAGAATAAATATCGCGTCAAAGTCTTTTAGAGCGCATAAAAGTCTGCCGTCTCTTTGTATATTTAGTACGTAGATCTCATCGCGGTGCAACGGGCGTTTAAAAGAATTCCGCCGCGCGTCTGGCAGCTTTGATGCGCGACGATACATCGAACAAAAGCGTACGACGCGTATTTTCGCGAAATGCAAAGCCGACCGATGCAAAAATCTGGCCGACTTCCAAAGCATATCGAAGCCGTCGGAGGCTTATTTTTTTCAACGCGTTCGCTCAATGGCCGCGAGAAAAAAATAAACACCGTCGCGTTCGCTCTCACGGGTCAATGAATCGAAAACGTCATGATGGAGATCCGATGATTCACCGTTAACCAAGATACGATCTCGAGAAGACCGCGACATTCCTATCCGTCCCAACTAATAAAGCGCTATCGGGACCAATTGATCGATTTGAAACTATCGCTTTATATTTAATTTCACAGAACTGCCTTTCGAACGACGAGTTAAAGAATTGAAATTACGCCGTTGTGACACAACAGCGCTCATTCGTATCATTCGCGCACAAAATTATCTTATCGGTTCGAAAATACCGCGATATCAGAATAAATCATCTCGTTCAAATGCATAATCGAGTCGGTCTTTATCACGAGGGGGCAGAATTGATAAGAATGTGACAAAGGTTGGTTCTTTCGAACGTGACGACATTTCGTCGTAGCGATTGTTGAATAAACAAATGCAGAGATTTTAATTTCGTCATCATTATCAAATACATCGCATAATTTGGCTCCGACGAAATGTTATAACGGGCGCGAAACGACAACCGTAAATCGACGAGGTAATTGAGCGGTCAATGATGAATCGAGCGATTCGAACGTAAATTTGCGAAAGCCGAGTAAATTGGATTATATAACTGCCATCATCTCGTTACGCGACGTGCTACGTTAAAAGGAGATACGTACGGGAACGAGAGTTGGAAACTTGCGCGATAGCCTGACCTGTACGCGTACATATTGCCGCCGGAACATTATTAATACAACTCGCTTACCTTGGCTCCCTCATATCGATCACGCCGATAATCGATAAACATACATCTCGTACACCTAGCGCGCAAGTGTAGGGTGCAGGGTGCAAATTGCAACGTGCAAGTCTCTGCACGTCAAGTGAAAAAATCTTGTCAGCTGATCCGATGCGTGCTCGATACGATGAGATGACGTATAAAAGTCGAAGAGGGATTTATTTCCGATTATTGCTACAATAAGACTTTGAGCCGCGACAAACGAGTTATTTTTGGCATCGAAGAGATTAGATTTAACATTTCAACGACTCGATTGTATTTTTTATAAATCATTGTTTGGCGAATCGCGTTATTCTCGCATCTCAAATTTAAATCGCCTAAAAACGAGTGAGATATTAATTCAATTACGTGACTTTTATGAAACGCCGCATGAAATTGTGAATGGGGCTCCCTCGCCGCAACGAGAAAGATTTGATTTTTAGCCCCGAGAAAATGATATCTGTGATGAATTATAGTATAAAACGTCATATTGTGCTGTTGAGAAATAATAACGAAATACAAGGGGCTATTTCCGTGCAGACGTTCTTCTCGTACGTCGCCGCGGACAAAAATATTTCGTGAGACGGAAACGTCCTATTGGCGCCTGCTTAATTTCGTCGACATTCCATAGTCACGCGTTGTTTCGAGGCGCTACATCGTAGCGTTTCGTCGCGTTTCGTCGCGTTTCGTCGCGACGTTTTCGTGCACGTATTATCCGTATTATTTTAATGGATTTATCATCCGCTCCGCCCAAAAACAGGATCGTACGCGCGACTCTCGTGCGGCGCTCGCGATGACGTTTCAAATGGAATTTAGAGACATCGGGGAGAGAGGCGCGTGGGATTAGATGAATCATCGAGGAGTGTGCGCGATACGTGTGCTCGATCTATTTTCATTTCTTCCACCGTCAAGTGTCAGGTGACATAACGGCGCGAGGACGGTGATAGCGCGAGACTGATTTTAAACGACCTTTCTTTCTCTCTCGGCGGAATCTACGCAAAAATGCACGCGTGAACAAAAAATTTACACACGTAGCTCCCGTCTTTTAGAATGAGCGTTAAACGATTGCGAAGCAATTATATTTTAACCAACCATTTCGTTATATTTCATATATTTTCCCACATTTGCACCTACACGGAGAAAAATATCATTCTACTGAAGCCAAGAAAAGCGAGAGATTACTCGGTTTATTTTTCTTTTTTTAAGGGATAGTTCTCGTCTTCGACGAGAAATATATTCTTGATAATAATCTTCAAATATACTCGTCATACAAGTGTTAGAAAATCTCATTATCGTGCACTCAAAAGAAGAAATTATTTTCTCTTCAGGAATATTGTAAAGTTGTATCAACGAAAAATCAAACTCACTTTACGTCTTGTAGTAAGCGAATCAAATTTTTGTTTTAATTCAATATTCTTGAAATACTGCACTTACTAAAATAAATAATATTTACTTGAATACATTTTTCTCTGTGTACGAAACTATAATTGTGCCAAATGCAAGACCGAAAAATGTATCAATCTGCAAAACGCGACGGAATATTGTCGCAAAATGTACATTGCTGTCGGCATAAGAATCACATAAGAATCTTACGCTAATCAGTCATTTGGCAAAGAGTCGTTGGCCGCAGCGCGCGCCACAAACGTAAACGTTTACATAACGTTACGATTTAGGTCGATGGTGCGGGCCGCGACACGGAACGCGCGCAGCCCCGCGCAGCCCCGCGCAGCCCCGCGCACAGCCCCGTAGCTGAGAAATTGCCAGAGGCGCCCGAAATGTCGTGTCGTCGCTCCCTTGCCAGAGAATCTCTTTCTCGCAACGTCCCAAAGTGCAGCGTCCGTCCAAGATTTGGCGCGATAAAGATGCGATCCGCCGACGAAAGCGAATACGCATCATCCTTTTTCCCGTCGATATTTTCATTTTCCGGGAAAACTTGGACGAGACTCGCCTCGTTAAAATAATTTTTATCGAATTGCCGAATCGCTAATTTCGTTCAATTTTAATTTTCGTCATTTTCTTTAATTTTCGTCATTTAATTCGAGAGAGACATTGAATGTATCGCTAAAAGATGCCTCGGCCAAGTTCTCTCTTTGAGCGCTCTTTCAAGACACACGCAGGAAGAAAACGAGATAAGAATTATTATTTACACGAGCGACAATCTACGCCCGACGTTATCTCTCCTCGTTATTTTTAACATCTAAAGATATACCGAAGAAGCGAATCTCTCGTGCAAAACTCGCTCGCGTCATTTTCAATGGTAATTCTCGATAAAAATGCCAAGGTGGGAAATTTATTACCGCCGATCAAAATAAGATATTATTACGGGCGACTACCAAAAATATTCCCGTCAACATACTCTGTGTGATAATTTGGAAATTGATGTCAAACGAAAAAATTATTGCAGATAATACAAGTGAAAATTATAAATATAGATAATAATGTTGTAACTAGATACGCATATATTTTCAAAGAGAAATCGTAAAGAAATGTTGCGTCACATTTATACTTGAATATAGAGTACGAGTTTGAATATTAATAGCAGCCGCACTTTTTTCCCCACATTTCCGATGGTCGTCGCGTTATATACAACATCTTACTACAAGCTTTTATTATATAAATAGTTTATTTGAAAACTCACCTTGATGTCGAGATGAGCTACGTTGAGGGAATGCAGAAAGGCGATCCCGTCCAAAATCTGCTTCAGCAATCGGGCGACCTGCCGCTCCTCTGGAACTTCCTCATCTCGGTCGAGTATCATTTGTAATTCGCCGCCAGGAGCCCTGTCGCAATAAGCGTGTATCTGTACCTCCGCATCTCGCGCGACTCGAACAATATTTACATTTTCTCGCGCGGCGCGTCGGCTATACGCATACAGGTATAAATTTATTCGCGCGCAAATAAATTTTACGCGCGTCCAAACGAATCGATGCGATTTATAATTTTACGAGCGACGCACGCGATGTACGCTCGCTCTCCGTCCTACTTTTGAAATAATTAGCAGAGATTACGAAATGTAGAAAGTTACACGCGCCACGATATCCTCGTCATTCAGTTTTATTTTCCTTCCTCGTCGCGCGAAACAAACATACGTGTACGTAATCGCGAAAGGCAGCCATCCTTTCCGTGTTTTATCGCGTGGAAGAAAAAGAGGCGAGTTTTTTATTCGAGATCCAAGCACCATGTTTTACAACGTTTTGATGCGATCGGAAACGTAGGCGGAGACGCGGAACGTCCTTGTACTTACAGTTCGAGGACGAGCACCATCTCGGTATTGGTCTCAAAGACCTGGTGTAGGGAGACGAGACGAGAACAATGGGCCGCGGCATCCAGCACAGCGACCTCGTGAAGCGCTTCCGCTCTGAGCTCCTGGGCCCGCCGTCGTTTCCTCAGGAACTTGGCGGCCCACTGCCTGCCGCTAGACCTCTCGCGACATCTTCTCACCGTCGCGTATTTACCTCTGCAAACAAAGAGTGAGAAAATGTAAATTACATCGCATATACACCCGTGTCAAAGTAATAGCATCGCATTGACGGGCAAGCAGCAAAGATATACACGAGGCGCAAGCGAGGAATAATTTTCATCAAACTTGAAGAATCGAAATTCAAAGTTGCTCAAGGGTGACAAATCGTGCCCAGCAATACTGCCAAGCAAATACTCGTAGCGCACAACTCGAGATTGCTTTCGCGGCGCGCGTCCGTTCATTAAAACGTTGATTGCGAATCATGGACGTTTCATTTCGCCGAGAAAATAATTGAATTTCATCATTTTTTTTTTTTCAGCGTAATCGGCGTCCAGCGCGCTAATGACTACAATTTGCGTCTCTACAGGCGACACATACATTCTAATGAAGACATTGAGAGCCGAGCGAATAATAATGTTTCGCACGAGCGAGTCGCGTAAAACGACCGGGCGCTTTCACTGTTTCCGTTAATAACGCCTCGTTCCTTTCCTCCTTGCTTTTCCTGATTACAGGGAACGCGGCACGCCAAGTGTAAATCTCGTCACGGAAAAATCATGTACGTGTTTATTAAATATATATATAAGACGAAGGTTGCGTGTTGGAACTCTCAACTTTTTCCGCTCTGCAGATCGGATGACAAATTGCGACCGTGAATTGGAATCCGAGATTGAATCGCGGAATTGAACATTTGCACGTAATGTAACGGAGAGATTGCAATTGATCGCAATATTGAATCCCGCGATGCGATTGCAAAATCTTTCCAATTATGCGGAGACTAGGAACGTCCTACATACACGCGCATGCAACAACATAATATAATATGCGTAGGATTGAATCATCGCGGCGAGAATGTAACTCATCGCTTGCGAATTTTTCACGAACCGATTTTCTTTGGATGCGCGCTTAAAATTATTGCATTTAATCACCCCTCTCGATTTCCGCAATTTCTGCATCGTTATCGCGAAAATGCGTTGCCGTGAAAAAAGCCGAGACAATCGCGTTAATATGGGAATATACGCGCGTTTGCGCGCGTCGGTATTGTACGAGAAAAGTTTCATCGCACCGAGAGTCTCGCGAGCGAGAAAATTACTCGCTGTGTAATCCGACGATCTAAACAGACGTTAGAAAGCCGACTCGTCGGGGCAATGCACGCGGTTAGATCCGCGGGCCTAAATTCGAGCAACGTTAATAGTGAAAGCACGCGTTTACGTTCATTACGTAAAGGTTTGTCGCGTCTCATGAGAAAGTGCGACGCGCACTTTGGAAGCGAATTTTTTTCTCGCTAGTAACGAGCAGTATTTGTTACATAATGTATAAATATTTTTTCATTTGTCTAATAAAATTTTTCAAGCTCCTACATGATATATTTCTCGATCTTTTTCTCCTTTACAAACATATATATAATTTTTTTTTAATCAATAATTTTAATAAGACTAATAATCTTGATAATCTTAATCTTGGTGTTCCAATCTAGATCTCTTGATAAATAATTAAAAATCTTGTCTCGATTTTGTCTCGAGAATTACAAGACTTGAATTTCAAGAGAGACAATCGAGATTAATCTCGCGCAATCCTAGTCCCGTTCGATGAAATATTACTTTACGATGCAATACGATTTAGAAATATATCTCAATAATATTTATTTGTCGCTAATCTATTCGCAAACAAGTTGTAAGTAAGCGAGGAGAATCCATGTCGCGCGACCGGGAGAGAAATCAATGCGTAATGGCAGAAATGGAAGAACGCGACGAAAGGCAGAATGTTTACGTAGGAAACATCCAACGTTATTTATTATTCGTCGAAAGCGGGGAAAGCGCGCGTTTGACCAAGGAGACGCGGGGAAATATCTTTCGGATGTCATCCATTAAAGGCGCGATGCGTTAGGGCCCAAAGAGTCTTCCAGGTAAGAGAGAGAGAGAGAGAGAGAAAGAGAGAGAGGGACGGCCACCAGTCAAGAGATAGATACGGCACGAAAGAACCGCCAGAAAGGACAGGCGTCAAAGTAAGCATCATTAGTGGCCATTGTCCACCCGATGATATCCCGCAGAGAGCGCGACGGGAATGAGATGGAACGTCAAGTATTTCTCGGCTCGTTTTCTCGATGGTCCTTTTTACCTGGATGACGCCATCGCGGCTCGGAGAAATTAATTACAGTCGATAACAAATTGTAATGTGACAAGAATGTTTAAAAATTAATACATTAAAGCGCAAACGAGTCGTAGAAAAATATATCTAGCCGTTTCTTTACCGCCGTTTCTTTAGCGACAATTGACAATGTCAGCGGGTGAGAACCGCTGCTCGCTGGTCGAAATGTAGGTTGACGCGCGAACGCGACCAAAGTGTTGTCTATCGAGGCGAATCGTTATCTCTGGCGTTCTAATTACGGTCTGTTGACGGAGGCAAACCTATCTGATGCGTCTCTCGGTACGTTATTTCGCTAAACGGAAAATGAGGAGCAATGACACGTGTCGCGACACGGCTGATTTTACGCTCGCGCGTTGCCAAACGCGTAGGATCGCGGCTCGCGATTCGATTTCGATTGCAATTAGCCATCATCTAATCTCCGAGCAGATCTTTCCGTTCTGCTCGGCGAGGGAAGCGTCGCTCTATATTATCCGCGATTCGCGTGCATTCCCTCCCCTCTCCCCCTCCCCCCACACATCTATATATGGAAAAGCAATTTAATATATTAAGAGGAATGTAATTATGGTGGAAATTTTTTTAGAGACTAGTCGAAACACGATATCTGGATGTGTCGTGTTCCATCCGAGACGAGATGTTGCGTAGATCGTATCGATTTCATCGAAAGATCGCGTTAAAAAGTGTCTATACCAGTTTCCCAGAGTAGTCGTCCGCGAGTGGTTTTATCGGGAAAACACGCTCGAGTACCGTTATATATCCGGCCGAGTCGTATCGTCAACTCCTCGCACGTCGCAGAGGCGTAATCTGCGATTACGCGACGCGAAAGCGCTAAACTGCCGTGCGACTGCGTGACGACCGGCCTTGTATCGTCTCGGATCAAAGCGGGGGAGAGAGGGGAGATGGCGGTGGGCGAGGGATATCGCTTCCGCGAATCCTTGTCGCATCGACGAATGATAAACCGTGGCGAATCGAAACATCATCGGCGCGATTGAAGAAACCGTGGCGTTCCGAGACGAGAAGCCGTCATCCCTTCTCGCAATCTCGCCGGCGTCGCCGTACTAATGGCGCAACTGTAAACCTGACATCGCAACGTTGACGACAACAACGACGACGGTATTATTATCGCGATACCGCCCTATCGCTATCGAGCTTGGCACTTTCATGCCTCCGCTGAGAGTAAACTGCTGATTATTACGCCGATTATCTCTCGTTCGCCAAAGATATCAATGTTTGCGTCCTTGTTCGTCGCAAGGCGGGGTCTTCTCCTCTTCTGCCGATGTATTCGTTGCTGCATATAAATATTATACACTTATGTTTTCAATATCATTTTATGATTTTACAAGATTTGCAATCTAATGCATTCTGTGTTTGTACAAATGATTGATTCGTCACAAAACGGTCACTTTTATTCAGTCTAATTTTATATACGTTATTTACGTTATAAACGTTTTTAATTAATCGACAAATGTAATTTTGAAAATGTAGCTTGGAATTTTATCGCGCTTTTTATCCACGGACGCGATCTGCGAGGCGCGTTAATCTAACGAATGAAAGTCGGGCGGGCTTGTTCTCAAGTTGCGATTCGGGATCCTTCCACCTGTCTTTTGCAGCTGCCGTCCGTCTATTATCGTGGACTTTGTTGCTTACGATATTTCTCTCGCGGACGCGCAGGTGTCGGCCGAAACTGGATGAGATCTATCAAACTGCGCGCGTTTATAATAAATATTGCTTTTAAAATGATGAGAGAGAATGGATCTAAAATGCATCTAGAAAATGGCATCTAGCTTTTTGCAGATGCTTCAATTTGCACTCTTTTCCTTTCGTGAACTCGGCAGCAGATGCAATTTAACAGCCGGGCAGGCTGCAGCAACCGAACCGAGGCTTCGAATAATATCGACTATTCGTGTCATTAACAGGGTCAACGCTTATGCCGCACGACCGAGATTAAGATTGCATCTCGTTGCGGCGGCCAATAACCCGGTTAACATTGCGAGATTACATTCGCGTGCGAGTAATACGCTTGGCTACGATTGATGCTAAGTGCCAATCTATTAGTTGGCGAATTACTTTCTTGCCATCGGTCGCGAACGTAACTCGATGCTAATGTTGGATAATTTACGCGGATTTCGCGGATTTTATTTCATCATTAAACAATATAGAAAGGGGTCCGATTATCGCGTGTTTTTAAAACGTCGACTCTTGGAAGCAAGCTTGTAATCGCAGTCAATTCGAAATTGCTCGTGTCGGAGAAGCTTTTCTCATCGAGCCTCGCGAGTGAAAAGTCGTCATTTACATCTGGCACGACTCGAGAGAGAGATTAACCCGATTTCTTTCCGCGGCATTCTTCCCGAGGGAGGCAAACTCCTCCCGCCGTCATTAACCTCCTGGTTCTCGGCGAGGTACGCGACTACTCTCGGACGAAGAAATCCGAGGAAAGTCACGGTCATGACAGGCGGGGAAGGTGAGAGGACGTACACGGTTTCCATCTCGATCGCGCTTGCCAAGGTCAAGACTAAATACGCCAGCGTCGTTAACCTTGATCGAGCATTCCGCCATCGCTTTACATCATCCGCGGAGAAACCCCCAAAAAGAGAGGCGAGTCGCCGGCGCGCTTTCGAGTTTCTCCTTCCTTCGAAAACGAACGAATCACCGGCTCGTTTTCTCTCCGAGAATCTCGCCGATGGTTTCGACGCGACGCGCGAGATTACTTCCATTCGGGATAAAACGCAATATTGTTATTAGGTCGCGGCATATTATGTACATGTCGTCGAGAGAAGGCCCGCGAGTCGGTTAATGGAAAAAGCTACATTACTTTCCGCTACGGCGAACATTTCATTCCGAGGAACGTGTTTCAA